CTCAGTCCTATGCCTGGAACAGAGGAGAACAGCCCCCTCCTGTCTCCCCTCTTCTCCCCACCTCTGCCCCCCACTTCCTAGTGGCCTGCCATGCTCTCTGCTGCCCCCTCTTGGCACTGTGACATCGGATTATTGTTCCTTGGGTTGGGGACACAGAGGCCAATAGTGTTGCCATGACTCGCCCTTGGCCACACGGCCACATCGGGGATTGGTGGCAGAGATGGGCGAGAGCCCCTCTGAGCTCACTGGGCCCCAGTGCCGCTGGTCCCCCGCCCCCCCGGCCCTCACGATGCCCATGCACACGGGCAGACTGGCAGCGTCCGGTGACCGTGGTTCTTTGCGGGGGGCTTCCTACAGTCGTTGGAGCTGGCTGTGCCACCCACGGCAGGTGGAGAGTAGCAGAGCCGGGCTATCCCTGGGAGCAGCCCTCAACAGTGACTGCGGGAGATGTTGAGCGCATACCCTGGCTCCCTCACGGCCCCCCCACCCCCAGAGGACAACTCTGGGGGCAGGCTCTGCACCTGCTGGTTTCCCCAGTTTGGTGGCTCGCCCTCTCTGGGCTGCCTCCCCTTCCCTGTGTCACCTCCTCGCTCCCTGACCGGGGTTTCCTTCACCTCTCAAATAAAAGCCTCGCCCTTAAACTCTGGTCTTGGGCTTTGCTTCTGGAGAACCCGACCTAAGGCCCTCCCATCCCCACCCCTGGAAACCCCGGGAAGCATTCAGGTCTCCATAACAGGGCTCATTTGCTGTGAGAGGTTCAGAGCCTGGCCCCGGGGAATCTCACGGAGCCAAGCTGGGGATTGTAGCGCCTGGAACCGAGTACCTGTGGAACGTTTGGAGGGGCCGTTAACACCTCCACATGATTTGGTTGAAAAGGGAGGCAGGGACCTCTCTCCCACCCGGGCACGTGTGACACGATGATCGGGAATAATTAGGAAATCGTGGAGAATCTGGGCTGGTTAATGAAGGGCATCTCGGTTGAAGCCCCTTGCTTCTAGTTAATTTTGCTCTTCACGAGGTCTCTCTTGCCCCTCAGTCCAGGAGTTGATCTTTGGGAATCCAACGGCCAAATGAGAGTCAGGACGAGTTCGCGATGGTTTTCTATGCTG